CTTCTTAACTACCTAACCTTACGTAGCTCTCACTCTACCTTCTTCGTGTCCTACGGTAGTAGTCTCGTAACTTTTAACTTACCCGTTCCTCTACTCTTACTCGTCTCTCTCTCTCTCTCTCTCTCTCTCTCTCTCTCTCTCTCACTTTGTACCCTTTCTCCAACCTTTTTTCTCTATTTCTATCCCTTAACCCCCTCCTCAATCCCATCTCCCTTATCTGTCTACCTCTACCTCTTGTCCCTCTCTCATCCCCTATGTCTACAGCAGAAATATCAGAGAGAAAAAAAAAGGGGTGGGGACTGAGATGAGAAAAAAAAAAAAGAAGTAAGAAGAAAAGAAAGAGGGGAAAAAAATTATATATTGACAATTGAGGAAATAGGTAATCTACATAGTAGCTCGTGTTGTTTTCGTACCCTTCGCCACTCTCTTCCGTCTTTTCTTTCTGGTTTTCAAAACCCTTCTCTGAGGAATTTTCTCTCTCTTCAAACCCCTCTATACCTACCTCCACCCCTTCTCCCTTTCACACCAACAACCCCCCCACCCCCAACAATACCTCTTGCAGCAAGCCCACTAAGGATATTGAAGCTCTATCAGAAGATAGCTCCAAATTCAACACACACATCAAAGCTTCTTTCCTCATCAGGCTCAGTTTTGAAGACTGATTTCTCTCTAATCCTCTCTCTCTCCCTCTCTTCATCCCTCATTCCTGTCCCCTCTCTCTACCCTATCTCTTTAGAAAATTACATAAGGAAATTGACAACATAAAAGTTTCTTTTTGGGGATTTCAGTCACATGTTGATACTCATCATCTTTCCCCGTTGCCCCTTAACATTCATCTCTCTCTCAATTATTCCTCTCTGATGTTCTCCCTTTATTTCTAAACCTCTTTCATATCTCTCTCATCCTCTCAATGCTACATCTCTCCTCTTTAGCCTTCACTCTTTTGGCCCTAGCTTGCTTCAGCAGCAAGGTCAGCAACGCTGGAAGACTCAAAGCACACCATGAAGATACTCCAGCACTCTGAAGAATTTGTTTTTAATTTTCTGCTTTTTGGCTATGTTATGAAGCCACCATTTTCTCCCTTCTTTTTCTTTCTTTTCTCTGTTATCTCTTCCCCCCTTTCTCTCTTCGTATCTACTTTTGTGTACTGAGCACCCAATTTGTGGGATGCCATCTTCTGTTTTCTACTGTAACTCGTTACTTTATTTTATATATAAGTGAACATTCTTCAAAACAAAATGAAGGGAAAAGGTTCCACTTGCTGATATCAAATGAACACATATTCCCTATCTATTTCAATCGAACAACACACCCCACAAGTAAATGTGGAGGGCTGTAAAGATAAAAAAGGTGACCTTTTTAACATGAAAACCATATTCCCTTAGGATAGAACATAAGTCCCAAAATCAAATACACCCTAACCCCCACCCCAAAAAAATATAATAAAAAAAAAGGGCCATACCCGGTGCTGGTCCCACCTAAGCAAGGTCTCAGGAGGGGTGGGCTGGAAACAGTCCTAACCTTTGGCTTATGCACAAAGTGGTCATTCTCACGTAAATATAGGATAGACACAGTTCAAACCAAGGTTTAAAAAAATGGATTGGTGACCCGGATTGGTCAATTCAAAAATCGTGTCGGATCGACGATCCGGATTGGAGAATCGGTCGGTTTTGGCTTCAAAAAATCACTAAAAATCCCTAAAAATAATGTTTTTTTGAGTTTCGAAAAATGTTTGGGGTTGTTATATTATGTATTTTCATTATTGTGCAAAAATACATGAATATTGAGACAATGTTTCCCTGTCTGGATGTCTATATAATAATTAATTATAATATAATATTATGATACTAAATTAAACATGCTTCAAAAAAAATACTAAAAAACACTTCCATATATTATCACAACCTAACCAACTATAATATTATATACTAAAATTGCAATTATTATATTTTATAATTATTTTACTATACAAATAAGAATAAATTTAAACTATCTTATAATATCATCTAATTTAAAAAAATCTTATGCACAACTATAAAAAAAATAATACATTATAAATTTTAATATAAATAAATTAATAAATAAAATAAAGTTTGCCTATGGCTCAAATATGAATTTGTAATCCTGTTTTCATGAAATAAAAGAAAAAAATAAATTTATGCTTAAATGAGTTACTGTTATTGACCTCAAAAAAAAAAAATTGACAAACTTACTATATTTCATTATTTACCTCAAAATTTATTCTTCTACCCACCCTATTTAAACACTTGTATATTTACTTAAAAATTTACTCTTCTACCCACCCTATTAAACACCCGTAGAGGCATAAATTTATGCTTAAATGAGTTACTGTCATTGACCTCAAAAAAAAAATTTTGACAAACTTACTATATTTCATTATTTACCTCAAAATTTATTCATCTACCCACCCTATTTAAACACCTGTATATTTACTTAAAAATTTACTCTTCTACCCACCCTATTTAAACACCTGTATATTTACTTAAAAATTTACTCTTCTACCCACCCTATTAAACACCTATAGATGCCCCATTTAGTCACACCATCGTGGTGGGAACAAAGATTTGTCCCACATCAAAAATTTCGAGTATGCAAAGCCTTCATAAAAGGCCAGAATCGATCCTCAATTGCACGCGCGAGTTAAAAGGTGGGGCTACAATCAGTTGTCACTCATTAATGTGTAAGGTAGGGCCCACATAAAGATAAAATCTTATTGAGATTAAAACTACGGGCTGTTGTCCCTCGTTTTAAAACAAAATTTCAAAAGTGCACTGGAAAAAAAAATTCAAAAATGCACTTACCAAGTTTCCTCATTCCTGTTCAGACCAAAATCGGCCGGTTTTGTCAGATATCTGACAAGTTCAAGGGGGACCTGGCCGGTTCCCGATATATGGAGGGAAACAGATTGCATCAACGATTCTTGATCCGGAACGCCAAATTTTCAAACCTTGGTTCTAACTGTCAATGATCTGTTCTAATCATCTGATCTATTTCATGGATTGTTAGGCCAACCATTAATAGAAAACAACTGCATAATTTGGTATTAACACACGTCGTCTTAGAGTAGTTTTTTTAGAAATAAATGTCCATAGAACCAACTTAAGTTGTTGAAAGTACCAAATTCTTAATCCACCAATCAAGCCGATATTGACATCAAACAGTAGCCTACAATTACTCCACACGAAAGTTCTTGGGGAGATTTTCTTTATTCACAAATTTTCTAACAATTTATTAAACCACCTTGAATGCACCTCTTCCAATTTATTCATCAACAAATTTAACCAACACTTCATCTCTACTTCTAAGAAGAGATGTTCTAAATCTTACCAGAATTCAGCTTGCGGAAACCCTTGCTCATCTTGACAGAAGTAGAGTTGATACCACCACAAAGACCTTTATCAGAGGAAATAGTAACAATAACATTCTTCTTCACATCAATGCCTGGAATTAGAAAGCATCAAATAAAACAACGTCAATTCAATATTAATAGAGTGGGAAAAAGATAGACAACAATAAAGTGATCCAGTTAGAAACACCGTGCAAACTCAAGGCACATAGAAACCATGATTTAATCCAACAAAGAAAATGAATACATCCGAGAGGGAGAAATCAGGTTGCACAAGTAATCTTCAACATGCATCGTCAATTTATATGAAGCGTGTGGATTTACATATTGACACGCACACACATGCAAACAAACACACAAACGCACATGCGCACACAAGCACACACACACAAAAAAAATGCATAACAATATTTGTGAAAAATGTTAGCAATTCAGAAACAAATATCTAAAAAATTCAGAACAAGGTTAAGAAATTAAAACTAAGAGACATCATCATCATCTTCTTTAAAGCCTTTTCCCAATTAATTTAGGTCGGCTACAAGAATCATGGTACGCCATTCTGCTCAAATTAAAACTAAGAGACACATCGAAATAATGGGAAGGAAACTGTATTAAAGAAGCTAGTAATTTTTTTCAACCCCAACTATATCTGCTTGGATGAATAATGCTAATCACATGTCCATCAAGTTAAGGAAGCAAATAGATCTTGGATGCTCGATGTTTTTTTCCTAACCTATTCATGTGAGACTGTATACTACGCATAACTAGAGATGAATAACTCTTCCTGCTTAAAACAAGGGTGGCCTTAAAAGGGGAAGAATACAACTCTGAATATTCACCTTCCATATTTTTCCATTGATGGTGGTGAAGAGAGACTGGTCCCACTTTAAACATGAGCGGCATTAAAACTGAAAAACAACTCATCCTCCGACATCCATGCAAAAGCATAGAAGGTAGATGTTGGATCCGAGTACTGGAGTACATAACATGGTATTTGTACGAAGTGTAAAATATTTATCCAAATTATATTTGTAATTGAATGCCTCAGGGTTTCAATTTCCTTCATTTTTTCATTTCTTTTTCTGTGCAAAAAGTTTAGCTTGTTTAGAAGGAACAAAGTTCAAGGTTAAACTCTTGACCACCGAGCTTCAAGTTTTAGACCCTTGACCCATGTTTTCAGATAGCTTTGCTTTGGGCCAGAACGGCTGAAGTCTTCGACTTCAGGCCCCAAACCAAAGTGACTAAAATCAAATCCTCCCCCCCTCCCCACAGCCGCGCCTTGAATTCAATATATTAATAAAAATTTTGGAAACACCCCTCATACATTCAAAATTTTGTAAAGTACCCATAGAATACAAAATTTCAGAAAATATATCTATGACATTTGGCATTTTTTATTTTTATTTTTAAAATACACCAAAAGACATCCCCCGAATCTGCTGAAGAGTTTCCCTTTCAAGCCAAAACGAAGAGCCCTCCAAATCCAATCTGATTACACAGCCATAAGACCTCTCTCATACAAATTAGATTCAAAACCACTTCATCAAATTCCACAGAAAGAGCCAAACAGTTACCTCCTATTTAGGCAACAACTACAACCTTCATTTGTAACCAACAAGGGCCTCATGACTCATTAGAAGAATACCATGTTAATTTGCACCACCCATTAATTTGTTATAATATAAATGAAAACTTTTCATAGCAAACCTGTCCCAAACTAAGGTCTTAGAAACCAACTCCAATTGTAAAGCCCTACAAGCAGCCTCAATTTTTTCATTTACCCTAAAACGGAGCCGCTCCGTACAATTTTCCACAAAATCGATTTTTATTTGACTCAAAATGCCCTTTAGTTTGATTTCAATAGGGTTTAGAAATTTGCAAAATTTCAGGGTTAAGGGCCGCTTTTCATCTCCCAAATTTGAATTTTCTGAGGTTTTTATAGAATTTGGCATCTCTGTATGGGAATCAACTGCGCTGATATTATCAAGCTCACAAGTCTACTCTGGTTCAATAATCAATATCATAAATTTCATATTGAACCCATTCTTCTTCCTTTAGTTCTCCGAAAGGATTTGTGTTTCCCTCTCTGCAAAATATCCATCTCCTGTGAAACTACACAGAAAGTGCTAGCACCAGTGGTATCTTCTTCTCCCTCAAACTATAGATTTCATGGTTCCTACTTAACAAATCAGTTCCATCTCTTCAGTCTTCCTGATATGTTTCTCTCTCTTCATTTTCAGTTTCTTTAGGCTCCATCCCTTTTGTAAGCTTAACAAAAGCATATCATCATTGAAATCTTCAACTGGTCTTCCAAAATTAGAACAGGGAACCCCATGTACTCGATGAAAGAATTTTTATAATCAGAATTTAGAAGAAACTTCTCACGAACTATTCATACCTAATATGAGCAATGCCTTTACCCTTGACTCTCAAACCCTCTGCTATTCTATATATGTTGTCTGAGCTCTAAAACATATTCACCACTTCCAGTAAAATCTTTGAATATGGGTTACGACTGAATTCCCATGCCCTGCAAAGCAATGATCACTGTAGAGCTATGTTTGCTAAGCAAAGAAAACAGGGCAAGACAGTAGAGGGAGAAGAAATTATGATTAAAGCAACAAAAAGTAGCAGTAAACACCCACAACCCCAACTAGGAATACTACCAAACCCTTCCTCCTCTTCTTTTTTTTCTACCTCCTCTTTTTATCATCCTTTTCGTCTCCTCACTTTTTCTCTTCCTGGTTTTTCTTCTTTTCCCAAAACCTGTCCAGGTTCACTCCATAGAAAGATTTTCTTCTCTTCCTTTTGTTTCTTCAGCCTCTGAACCAGAAAACAAGGATATAGCTCCAAATACTCACCTTTTTCTGGATACAAAAAAAGCTCACACAGCCTCTACTGCACAAGGAAGAAAGAAAAAGGGAAAAGAGGAGGAAAGGATGGGGGGAGACGGGGGATGAGCGAGAGAACATAAAGAAAGAGTGAGGAGAGAAAGAAATAGATAAAAAGACACCTAGATGGGCTTGGGACTTGGTAAATATTCTAAAAATATGGGCATTGTAAGGTAAAAAAAAATGACTTCAAGAAAAGATGAACGGAGGGGATTGTTGTAGGGAATATGAGAAAATTGAGATGACTTGTAGGTTTTGAAAGACACCTTATTTCAGGAGAGGTTCCGATATGTTGAATTGTAAGTTTCCCTCTAGCAAAATTATATGGCATGTGGGCAAGGATTTTTCAGGTCATTCCTTCAACAACTTGGACAATAACAGGTCTGAGGTTTCGAGAACAGTATACGTCAGAAATATCCATCCTTCATGGTGGGTGCCATGGGTGCTCACTACCCCCTGAAGTACGTGAGCCAAAACTTAGCTTTGAAGAAAGTGCTAAAGGAAACTTGTGATTGGCCAGGGTGGGGTTGCATGCCCAAAATTTTTCCAGCACCATTGCGATATGCGACTCCAATGAAGCAGAGGCCTGTGTATTTTTTATCATAGTTACCGGGAATGGGAGCGACGACAAGAGCTTCGGGATTAGGAGTGGAAGCCTGAAACAAGGTAGGCTCAAAGATCTGTGGTTGGGGGAAAGAGGTCCGTACATGGTAAGTTAAAGGGATGTCTAACTTTTAGGAAACACGTTTCATATATGAACAAGGCGGATTCTTTACTAAATGCGATCGCGATCCGCTGTGATTAAGATTTGAGGTTTCTAAAGTTCACTTGTCCATAGTATTGTAATGTGGGAGTGAATTCCATTGAACAATACGTTTAAATTTTTTCAAATTTACAAACCCAAATATCAATGTAAACAAGAATCGTGTCGTTGAAATTCTCTTTGACATTATGTTGTCATTAGAAGTGTTTCAACAAATCTGATATGGTAATGTATTGCCTAAGTCCTCGATCCCATGTTAACAGTGGGAATGGAGGGTGATAAAAACAATTACTTAAGCAATAATCACTACAAAAAATTACTCATGTGGGTCCATTACAAAAATTGCACATCTACATACATTGGTCTGCCTGCATATGCACACATCCTCATTTTTGGCATCAATCGGTTGGATTGGACGACTCCCACTCGAATACCGATTGATTATTACATATAAGAATGTTGCGGTAGATTGTTTCCAAAAAAGATATGCTGCGATAGCTAAGCTCTCCTTTGCAAAATATGAAGAAATGAAAGACATGGCCATATATAATTCCCAACAGCTCTCCTCTGTCAAAGTTGAGGCTCAAAGACATATAAACAAGAAAAACCGCACATTTCAAAGCATACATGCTATTCCATCACCCGTAAGGCAAACCCATGAGTGGATGGATTTGGTCGGCCAGCGCCAAGCAATAGAAGTTGTTCACATTATTAGCAAACACAAGAATCTCCTTACCCTACACATGAAGAGAATCCAATGAAGTCACATATTTTTCGATAAAGGATGGTGTTTGGCAACCATCACTTGACATTACATTTTTTTTTTTTTAAACTAACTTGACATTACAGTTTTGATGACTTGGGATTCCAACCTTTGATTTGGAGCCAATATTTATATGTGGTTTACTTCTAACTTTCATAGTTATTTATAGTAAGTCAATTAAGGATATAAAAACAAATTACTTGGCATTCGCTGAATTCAAATACAAATGGGACAATATACATTACATTATACTACAATTTATGCACCGTAAGTGTATGAAAGCATGAATCAACACTCAACACAATCGGAAGTCAAATTCATGAGAAACAAATTTCAATGACTAGTGTGATCACGTTTCCCAGATTTAGACACACTTCAACTATGTTTCACTCACACTTAACCCATCTTCCCCCATCACACAACCCCCCCCCCACCACCAAACCCCAAAATAATAGTAATAATAATAATAATAAAATTTCTAGATTTACCCAATGTTCTCCACGTCACTAGTTAATCAACATGGTCTGCATTTTCTCCCTTGATTTATTCACATTTTAAAGTCAAAATACCTCCCATATGTTTTCCTATGACATTATCATCAAATTCCCCAATAGACTTTTCATTGTAGCTCCCTAGATGTCTCATTCTCCTACTGCTCAAACTATATCATACTTCAAAAATTCATGCAAGCACCAATTTTTTTTGAGAACTGTTAACATTGTATTTGTATAGAAGTTTACATAAGGTATGACTGAAAGCACCAATTTCTGAACCATCTCCCCCATTGTAGAAAATTTGATAGAGTTCCACATTTGAGTTCTATACTTATGTATCATACATAGACATACACAAAAAAATGTGGATGATTTCTAATCAGTGAATGTATCTTGCACAACAAGCCACAGAAGCAATCAGAAGAGATGAAATATTCTAAAGAATATTGTAGGACTCACAAATTAGAGGCATGACAAGACATGCCAGGAAAAGAAGTCAAATTTGCAATGAACGAATCAAAATGAGTGCTAACATATCCATGAAAGATAAAACTATAAATTTAAATGCAATCCATCAAGGATAATCTTATGATATTCACTCACGTATCAATTACAACAATTACTTAAGAGATAATTTTTTGACAAATAACACGATTAACTAAAATGCGCAATTCAATTGATAGCTGATAACACTAGCAAACATATGATCATTCTCTTGCAGTATCATAAGTTATAACAAATGGTACATACTTGGATAATCCCCAAGAAGTGCTGTAAATGGTTGCCAAAGGCCCCGTGACTTTTCCGCCTTTGTTTGAATAGCTCGAAGCTTTGAGGCTGCAACCATCTTCATAGCCTTCGTAATCTTTTGAATGTTCTTAACACTTTTCATTCGGTTTCTCACTGACACAAACATACAGTCACCAATGAGATCCATAGTTGTTGATACCATACTCTTTAAACATTATTAAACAGGTTGAGTCTTGCTAGTAATAGAATTTACAGTACTGAAGTAAATGGAAGCTTACCAATTTGAGTGGAAATTGAACGTGCTCCAACAGGGGCTAACTCCCTGTACACCCAATTTTAACGAGTACGAATTAGAAAAGGCATGAAGTGAGGATGAGAGAGAGAACACAAAGTGAAAATTGGCTAATAGTGCAAAAAATTTCTTTTTAATTTACTACCTAAGCAGTACATGGAAAGTAAAATATCCATGTACAATACGTGCTATGCAATTATGCTTCTATAGAAACTAAAATCTGTGGGTACACATCTATATCAACGTTTAAAATCCATCCATGAAAATTATATTTCAAAGACAAACTGATCCTCAACAATTAAATCACTAGAGCAAAGCATGCACCTTTCAGCAGTAAATCATCACAGATAATTTTTTTCTATTAATACGGCAACACCAAGACAATATTGATGTAACAACACATCCCATTGCCCACATGTTCGTCTAAAATAGAAAATTCAAAAGACCCATTTTATTATCCCTACACCGTTCAAGTTTGTAATAGGAATCCATATCATAAGAAACTTTATGGTGTGATGTTACGGGTGAAATTGTGATTCACTTTTTCGAGAAACTTCAACCTCCTGGTTCAAAACCATGTCCACTACCACTAAATTGCACTTGACTTCCTCGCCCACTCATATAAGAGTTCGTCTCCATTTTCCCATACTTTGTAACTTCAAGTATAGGATTTTAAGGGCCTAGTATCCAAATCTAAAGTATAAATCAAAAACTGATCCCTCCAAAACCTGAGAAAATGAACCAAAAAAACAGATGGTATGGAAAAACTAGTTTGAATTCTCCCATGAAGCTCCAGTCTCCTTATAATGAAAACCAGCTTTCTTCCATTAATGCCCAAATACACTAATCAGTCAACCCAGGTCACCAAGTAGATATCGATCAATATTTCTCAATTATTAAAAAAAACTGAAATAATAGATAAATTCACATACCCAAGTGGGGAACTACACATTGTAGATAACATGCATTTTACATCCAATAAAAATGAGGGTTTTCCATAGATCAAACACTCACAAAGCTCGACACAATAAAGAAATAATATTTTATTGTATTTATATGATAATAAAAATTTGGATGACCCATAGAAACCACATCAGGAGAACCCCGACTCATTCCAGTCTACAAATCCTTCTCAAAACATCTTGATTGATCAATCATTTCAACATAGATTGATACCCACTGTTAAACACATCAAAGCAGAAGAAAAAATTATTTTCCACAAAAAAAAATTACAACACAATCAACAGTCTGATAAAAGAAGTCTACACAGATGATAAATGGGAAACTCACTGCGAAGAAACCCCTGATTTGAGGGCGTTAATGGAGTGGGAGTAAAGCATTGAAGAGAGACGTTGTCCCTCTCTTCTGAACGACGCCATCGCCATGTTCGCTTCAATCGAAAAGATGCAGAGATGCAGCCTAGAGAGAGAGAGAGAGATAGAGAGAGAGAGGGAGGCCTTCAGGGCCCCGTTTATTTTGCGTTCGCTAATTGTAGCATCGAGCACATATTATTCCGTTTGACCTAGCAGCTTCGTTTACTCTCCATAGAGCTATACTAGAT